AACCCATTCTAGCAAATTAAGCAGAAAGCCATGCCCGAAATCAAAGCGGAAGTCACCCACTGAGGCTCCACAAAAGACTCTCTCTCCTATTCCGCAGCAGCCATCATCTCCTACCAACGAGGCTGAGACAAGCCCAGTGTCTAGCACGGCGAGCTCCCTTAGGGCCATCGACCCTCTCCCTTCGGAGTCGGACGGTGAGACCTCCGAGGAAGCATTTCTGCCGGCTCAGACGCCTGCCAATAACCCTCTTGCACCCAGGAAGCGTCGGAGAGACAATGAGTCCTCTGGACGACCCAGGGGTCCCAGAAGAGGCGTGCAAAGCCTTCCACATCGTCATCTTCCCCTGATGATGATTTGTCTATTGCTTCTGCCCCACCGGCCTTAACTAGGTCATGGAGCACCAGAACATTAATGTCACCGTGACGACCACTACCCTACCACCGTCAACCGACACATCTCCTATGATGATCTCCCCACACCATGGAGACACCAAACGGCTGAAGGATCTACAAATCGACCCCTAACGCCATTCAACTCAGTCCCTGACCCGCTCCCGCCTACCAAGACGGTTGAGCTTGGTCCAGTGACTGCTATCCCATCTCCCCAACCCTCTACCTCACGCACTCATGCTCCCAATACGGTTGAGCTTTGTCCGGAGATCCCCATCTCACTCCTCAACCCTCTATCTCGAGCAATAATGCTCCCAATACGGTTGAGCTCTGTCCAGAGATTACCATCTCATCCCCTCAACCCTCTACCTCTGGCAATCTTGCCCTCAATACGGTTGAACAATCCCGGGAGGACACTTCCACATCTCCTCTACCCCCCATCCTCGGTCCACGGGACACCCTTCCTTCCCCAGAAGAAGTGGACTCCTCGCCTAGGCCTTCCACACAACACGTCGCACCGGGAGTTGATGATGATCGATGCAATGTGGACCGCCTATTAGAAATGATTGACACACTTGAACCAAGCGTGATCGATGGTCCTGCAGTCGCGCCACCTCCACGACAAAGCAGATCCCCAAAGCAAACCAAGAAGCCACCTCCTAAAATCATCCCTGAAGAATTGATGATAGAGCATCTGAAAGACAACATTCCGGATGAAACCCCTCGTTGGAGGATCTGATGGTCTCCCTCGGAGCTGCCTATGGCATTCAGCCAAGGGAACCTAAGGAGATAACAACTGAGGCCACATCCAAGAGCAGCGGAACCCCCAATTCCAATTGGAATTAATTAAAAACTTCACTGCTATTTTATCACCCGCCTTAAAAAAGCTCAGGCAGGATTGGCGGAAGGAATTCCTACCTCATCTACGGAACACCCTCAAATCCCTTCCCCAGACTTGTGGCCTTCTGATCGAGTCTTGCCTCAATGCTCTCGAGGAGCAGCGGACAAATTCGAGAAGACGTGGGCCATTAACCCACACCCAACGCACCACCCTTAAATATAAAATTACTGTCCCACCAAACCTCCAATTGATTGAATCAATAATCGTTGGGCTTCGTGGATCCGATGACCAGGCGTATCGTGCTCAATTGCCGGGCCATCCTAGACAATGCACCCGATGTCCTAAACAAAGCGGGTATGCCAACACACTTCGTACCCGCTTGGAAGAAGAAATTTGAAGCTCCGTCAACTACTGACGATAGAGTCTTCGTCTTCAACGGTAAGAAAGATCAATACTCTGACCTTCTTGCCCCAATTACGACCGATGAGGTATTGGCCAGTTTGCCATCCTCTCGTGACGGTCCTGACCCTATGGGTTGGACTGGCGGACGCTTTAGGGCTATTGACGCAACCTCCCTTCGCGATTCCCTTAATAAGGCCCTACTAGAAGGCCTAGGCGATGGAAACGGCGATGAATGCAAACTCCTGCTTGCAAGGACCACATTCATTCCTAAAGTCCCATCTCCCGAAAATTATGGAGACTACCGGCCTATAACCGTTTTCCCACACGCCACACGCCTCTTCCACCGAATCCTCGCCAAACGACTTAACCGAGTCGCATATTGGGGTGGACAGAAAGGCTTCAGGCCGGTGGATGGCACAAGTGAGAACTCGTTTGTCCTCTCCTCCGCCATCCATCACGCCAACAAAACATCATCCCCACTACACGCCTGCGTGCTTGACATCAGGAAAGCGTTTGACTCAGTGTCGCATGAGACAATCAGAATAGCTCTGGCGCGACTAGGTCTACCACGACACCTCATACTAAATTCTTTAAAAAGTGCCCGTACTATGCTCCAGCATTCCGTGAAGACAAGGTTCGGGTCGGGAACACCCCAGGGGACCCCCTCTCCGGATTTGTCTTCAACGCTGTGATGGACTTGGCGCTATCACAAACCAACGTCGTCGGCCCCTTCATGATGGGAATGAGCCCTTAGCGGAGCTCGTATACGCTGACGACGTGATCTTGTTGGGAGAGAGTAAAAATGCTCTACAAAAAACTCTGGCCTCGTTCTCTGAGGCTATAAATGCCTGTGGAATGGCCCTCTCATTCCCAAAATGTAAATACTTTAATGTATCCTCTCTTCGCGGAAGACTTGTCGAGAACGTCGATGAAGAACTCTTCCTATCACCTTCTAAAGTAATCAAGGCAGTCCCAATTAATGAAACATTCAAATATCTAGGGGTTGACTTTACTTGTCACTACCCCTTACATGACAGGGTCTCCACGCTACTAACAGAATCGACAGTGCCCCCTGGAGTAAACAGAGCAAGATTCTGGCCCTTAAGGACTACATGTTACCGCGCTTCAATTACCCTATTTCAAGGAGCGTGATCCCAGTGAAGGAATTGCGTAAAACTGACGCGGTAATAAGGGATCAAATCCGTAATTGGACGGGGATTTACAAGGACACTCCCTTGTCTTTTTACTACTGTAGGACCCGAGACGGCGGCCTAGGCCTTGTGGAGTATGAAAGGTCTGCCCGTGTCTGGTTTAACTCTCGGTTGGACAAACTCAAGAAGTCGCTTGACCCAGTAATAATCGAGATAATACGACTCTACTCTTCCGAGTTAACAACAAAAATAATATCAGTCAGAGGCGTCCGCCTTAACTCTGATGAGAAAATACAGAACCACTACCGGACTGATTTAATCAACAGGGTTGACACCGCCGGATTAGCCAATGCTAGGGCCGGCGGCAACAATCTGCTTTCCTTCGCCGGACTGACGTAATCGTCAAAGATTGGGAGCTCTGCGTGGCTCTCCAAACAGCAAGCAACTCCGTTTCTACTCCTTCTAAACTTCACAGATATAAGAAGAAGCCTACAAATAAATGTAATCAGTGTGAGGAGGTGGGCAACCTCTCACATGTCCTCCAAGGATGCGCCAAAACCCAAGCGCTCCGCATCCATAGACACGACACAATACAAAACATGCTGAGTCTTCCATGGGTAAACTTGGATATGACTGTCATGTAAACAATAGCATCCCCATCGAGGGAACATTCATGAAGCCTGACATCTGTCTGAGGGGCCCTAACAAGCTCATTGTAGTGGACCCTTCTATAGTGTCAGACAAATCCAACCTTATCGACGATTACAATAGGAAGATCCTGAAATATGGATCGTCCACTGCAGCCGTCGCATTCAAGGAACACTTCGAACTACCCGTCAACTCTGATATAATCGTTGTGCCATTCATCGCTACGTGGAGGGGGATAATCTTCCATAAATCATTGAACGATATTAAGCGTCAATGCCGCATCCCACCACGGTACCTTGCGTATGTGCAATGAGGATCCTCACTCTATCGCACAGCATCTTCAGGCGGTACAGGGACGGGATCTTCACTGCTCCCAAAGACATATAATGCCTCTATATTACCTACTGATTACCTACTGCGTGGCTTATTTGTCCTAATCATATTCTTCATATGCTTTTCGATCTTCGACTATTTTATCGTATTTGTAACTCTGCTAATCCGATTGATTATCATATTATTACCACTATCATGATCAATCTCCTATTCTAACGACTAATAGCCCTGCGTGGTTTATTAGTCAATTATTTCCCTCCATTTACAAGACAACCCCCTTAACTTCTGTAAATGGCTAATCCTACAGTATGACTTTTTGTCATCCTAGAATGTAATTGGAAACTTCAACTGTGCCCTGTGTGGCTACAGTCTTTTCCAATTGCTCCTCACAACTAATAGCCCTACGTGGTCGTATTAGTATATTATTCTTATTCCATTTTCATATCGATCATTAATTATTATTATCGTATATGTTTATGTAACCTGTCCTATGTATAGACTCAATGTAAACTCAAATCTATATATAGGCAAATTTACATGTTCCCTTGTGGAGCATGATCCTTATTTACCTTTTCTCTATTCTACATTTCGATTCCTAAATATTTATTTGTCGTATTTGTATTTAAACTCTGCTTTCCTCAATAAAGAAATTTTCGTGGGGGGAGCACTTATGGTTAAGTCCGCCAACATCGTTGGCAATTTATAATTTAAGCTTATGGTGTGCAACACCTAGATGTCGAGTTGTCTCCGTCGCCACTTCATGACCGTTTTGGCATGTTGGTTCATAATAATTAAGTGCTCTCCTCACGGAGTCTAATAGCCAAATACCTCGTCATCTAATTAGTGACGCGCATGAATGGATTAACGAGAGTGTGTGGAGTGTTTATCAGTTGAGGAGCTTAGAAAAAACACATTTCAAATCCAAGCGTGGACGAGGACCTCCTAATAGAGCACATGGTGCTCAAGTTCTCCTACCGTCCGGCAATGTCCATCCGGACCCGGCTACCAAAACGCTACTGAACGGGAGAACACTTATCCAACTGCTTCCTTGCTGCGAGTTGTCCACACTCACACTCTGAAATTAGACGGATTAGTGAATGTTCTCAAGGAGGAACCGGGTAAACTTATCTTTTCCTTGACATAACTCTTTTACAAGTGCTAGAACTTGGCTGGTCTTTGACCCCATCATTTTTATGTTTTTTTCCCATTTTCACGTGAAAATAGCTAGAGAAACATTGAAGTTTCAACCTAGGATCGAACCGGGGCTCCTTCGCATCAGAGGCAGGCGCCTTACCACTGATCCAAAGCCCCAGGCCTGAAAAGGCATCAAAAATTCTCCTCTTTTGTTATTACACTCCCTCTTTTTCCTCTGAGGCGTGTGTTTATTAATAAAACAATCAAAACATACATAGGCGCGCCCTATTAATAATAACACCTTTGTTTATTTAATAGCAACACATAATATTTACTTAAGTGACATCACACTTTTGTTTGTTTACAATCAATTAATAATATTTACTTAAGTGACGTCACGGTTGGGTGCTTTCTAAATTTAGAAAGCCCCAGCTGACATATCTAAAGTGAGAGCTAAAGGCCCGACTAAACGACCTGAGGAAGTCTATAACGATGGCTTCAACGGTGACTGCCGGCTGTCACATCGTTCAGGCCCTCAGATCAGTCGTTAATGGCGATGAAAGGGCTGCAAGCCTATCGCCCATAATTGAAGAAATAGCGGGGCGCTTCAATGAAATTAACGCACAATCGCGCACCATCTTCCATAACATGCGCGCTACAGTTCTACAGGAGGAAACCCCCATCTCCTCCCCGGCAGCGCCTATCCCACGCCAGTTGGATATGGATGCAGACCACATGACACCTTCAACCAGGAAACCGTGCCCTAAATCAAAGCGAAAGACCTCCATTGAGGCTCCGCATAAGGCACAACCACCTCACACCTCCCACAGCCCACAACATCCCCAAATGTGGCTGACAAGAGCCCCACAATTAGTGCTGGTAGCCCCCGTAGGCTCATCGAACCCTCCCTTCGGAATCGGGCGGCGAGACCTCCGATGGCGCTTTCCTGCCAGCCCAAACTCCTGCCAACAACCCATTCGAACCCGGAAACGCCGGGATCCTCCGGTCGATCTAGGGATTCCTTCAAAAGACGGTTACCTCCCTCACCAACAACGTCTACTTCCTCAATTGAGGAGATGATAATAGCTTCTGCACCCCCGGCCCTCACCAGGTCGCATGGGAGGCGGAACAACATACAACCTCAGACATCCCCCTCGTTGGTCTCTCCGCTGCAAGAAGACGCCAACGAGGTTTACAACCGTCCTCAGTCACACCCAACCTGACCCGGACACGCTCCCGTCCACCCAGACGGTTGAGCCTACTCCTGGGACCTCTAACATGTCCGCCATGACCCCTGGTCCGCTCCCGACCATTGCGGTCGAGCCAATACCTGGGACATCAACGACCATGGTCCCCACATCCCCCATGTTGGTCTCTCCGCTACAGGAAGAAGCCAACGAAGTATATAACCGTCCTCAGTCACCACCTAACCCTGACCCGGACACGCTCCCGTCCACCCAGACGGTTGAACCTACTCCCGGCCCCTCAACAGCCGAAAGATCCCCTCAACCATCGACCTCCACAGCTGCCATGGCCCCTGGTCCGCTCCCGACCATCGCGGTCGAGCCAGTACCGGGGACTTCGGTAGCGGTAGAGGAAACAACCATCCTAGGCCCTCGGGAATCCATCCGATCGCCGGTGGTTACCGACAACTCTCCGCGGCCAGCCACCCAGTTCGTGGCCCCTCCAGGAGAGGATGAGCCGTTCGACGTCGACCAACTTCTGGACCTCATCGACACGCTCGACCAGAGGCACTTAATAGGCCTGAGCCGGTAGCTCCACCGCAACAAGCGCCGGCCCCAAAAGCCCCCAAAAGACAACCACCTCCACTGATTCCGGAGGAAGTAATGCTGGAGCATCTCCGGGACGAGATCCCGGATGGTACCCAGAGCCTCGAAGACCTGATGGAGTTCCTGGCATCCGCCCAAGGCATCAGGCCAAGAAAAGCTCCACCGGCAACAATCCAAGCTGGGAACAGTGGACCCCAAAATTTCAACTAGAAATGATAAAGGGGTTCACTGGCACCATACGCCCTGCCCTCAAAAAGCTCGCCGACAATTGGAAAGGGCAAATGAGATTGGCCCTTCATTCAGCAGTCCGAAACATGCCTGCCACGTGCGGCAAGTTGATTGAGGTTTGCTTGGCCGCTCTCGAAGCCCGTCCATCTGACGGTAGAAGACGTGGTCCTTTGACCCACACCCAAAGGAACACTATCCACCGAAAACTGATTGTTCCCCCTACTTACCTCCTCATCCAGGACCTGACCCTAAGAGTCCTTGTCTCGGAGGACCCCTGGAATGTCATCCTGAACACAACAATCAAATTCAGCGTGACAAACTTCCCCCGGAAGGTACACCCACCTTCTCTGCGCTCCGCCGTGAGAAGATGGGGCAATAAAGACTTCGGGAAGTTAACAAAATCAATTTTAGACGACAACCAGGACATCCTAAACCCCACCGGGATGCCAGACCGATTTGTCCCCCAATGGCAAAAGATATTCGAGGCTCCATCGGAGCCAGACGATAGATTATTTGTTTACAAGGGGAAAAAACATACATATTCCCACCTCATAGCCCCGATTTCAACAGATGAGGTACTTTCGAGCCTTCCAAGCCGCTCTGCCGGACCAGACCCATTGGGCTGGCACGGCCGCGGTTTAAAGCAATTGACGCTACTGTCCTGCGGGATTGCCTGAATAAAGCTCTGCTTGAAGGATTGGCCCATCCTGACGGCAGCACCTCACCTCTCTTGACGGCAAGGACGTCATTTATCCCAAAGATCCCTTCCCATCAAAATACGGCGACTTCCGCCCCATCACCATATTTCCCCATGCCACCCGACTCCTGCATCGTATAATCGCAAAGCGATTAAACAGTGTAGCGTACTGGGGCGGCCAGAAGGGATTCCGCAAGGTCGACGGAACTAGCGAGAATTCTTTCGTACTTTCGGCCGCAATTCATCACGCGCACAAGACGTCTACCCCCCTACACGCATGCGTTCTCGATATTCGTAAGGCATTCGATACGGTCTCTCATAACACGATCCGTATTGCCCTCGTCGCCTGGGACTCCCTCGCCACTTGGTGGAGGTCATAATGACATCCCTCAAGGGCGCCAGGTCAGTCCTACAGGGTAAATCAACCGCCAGATTCGGTTCCGGCACCCCCCAGGGAGACCCACTTTCCGGTTTCCTGTTCAACGCCGTTATGGACCTGGCTCTCTCCCAGACCGAGGTCTCTGGGCCGTTCATGCTTGGTGTCGAACCACTAGCAGAACTGGTCTATGCAGACGATATAATTATTATAGGTGACAGCCAAGCATCCCTACAGAAAACAGTCACCTCATTCTCTAAAGCAATTAGCACTTGCGGGATGGCACTATCCCCTAGCAAGTGCAAATACTTCAACGTCACCTCTTTGAGAGGTAAACTTGTGGAGAATGCAGACAAGGAATTAATCCTTTCGCCCACATCTACGATCAGGGCGGTACCGATCGATCAAACCTTTCGGTACCTAGGTGTGGACTTCACGACGAAAGGTCTGTGCCACTACCCCCTGCATGACACCGCTGCCAAACTCCTCAACCGAATTGACTCCGCTCCATGGAGCTCCATAGTAAGTTGGCGGCACTTAAGGACCACCTCCTCCCCAGGTTCAATTACCCTATATCGCGAAGTGTGATTACGGTAAAGGAGCTACGGAGGACCGACGCGCTAATCCGCGACCATGTTCGCCAGTGGACAGGCATCTTCAAAGATATTCCACTGGCATTTATTACACCAGAACCCGGGATGGAGGACTCGGACTTGTTGAGTTTGAGAGTTCCTCCCGGGTTTGGTTTAACAAACGCATCGATAAGCTAAAAACCTCCCACGATCCCGTGATCAAGGAAATTCTACGAATTTTGCACGAGAATTCACCACAAAAATAGTCTCGGTACGCGGAATAAGGCTCTCGTCCGATGAGAGAATTCAAAACCATCACCGGACAGACCTTATCAGCCGTGTAGACACTGCTGGACTAGCCAATGCTCGGGCAGGAGCTAGTAACATGGCGTTCCTTACTCGCAGGGACGTCATAAAAAAAACTGGGAGCTCTGCGCTGCGCTCCAAACAGCCAGCAACTCCGTCTCCACCACCCTCTAGACTTCATCGTTATAAGCAACGGCCCGAACAATAAGTGCGACTATTGTGATGAAGTCGCAAACCTGTCCCACATACTCCAAGGTTGTCCTAAGACAACGCTATGAGGACATACCGCCACGATGAGATCCAGGACATGCTGAAATCATCCATGGCCAAGCTTGGTTTTCGAAGTTAACGCCAACCCCGTTTAAACGGCGGGAGTAACATGACTAGCTCTCTTTTTTTTTCTTCAGAGTGAAAGGATGTGCTCCTCTGAGCTCCCTCTTTTTTGAGGCTTTGAGTGCAACATATCGTCTGAGGAGCCAATAAAACACATCTACCTCCTCAGGAAGTCATTGATGACTGATTTTTGGAAGAAAATGGAGTTTTTCCGGAGTTGGGCCTGCTTCCTTCTTATAAGAGCCCTCTCTATTCCCTCTCCACCTCAGGCTAAGGATTCATGGTTCTTACCTCCTTCCAACACTCTCAGAGCCTATGAAGCGGTATCTACCTTCCTCTATATTCGCCTACTCACCCTGAGCACAATATCCTCCAAAACGGCCTCCGCGACCTCTAATTTACGTCCTCCGGCCTCCACTCCGAAAAACGTGCGGAATCAGCAAATATTCAGATTTGCCTCTCGCACGGCCTCCACAGCCTCACCGTCCTCGAGATATCGGCGTTTTGCCGATTCTCTTGAACTGGAACTTCCTGGTGAGGAGACAAAACCATTGCCACAATCCCACCTCTCTACCTAGTCGCATCCCGCTGTTTCGCCGGCCCAAAGTTTCGGGACCGATTCTTAACTCCGGGATTGCGGCTGCTGTGGACAGCCTAGAAGACCCCGCTTTGCGGCTCCCACCTTCCCCCATTGCGGTCTATCATATCGACCACTTTCCCCGACCCCCGGACGCCCTCTTCCCGGAACTGGTGAAAATTTTCCCGAGACGCCGGATATTTGAGGAATCTCAACGCCCGTG